CTCAAAGTAAGTCATACAGATTGCAATGTGATTGGTACTTTTATCAGAGTTTCCCCACTGTGTTGGGCAGTGGAGAGTCCGTGGGTGGGGAAAGCACAAATGCTCCAGGGGGGTGAGGTGTAAGCCCAGGCTTAGGTTAATCAGAATTACTTGTTGCGTTGCTTGATCTCAAAAATATTTTTTCTCCCACCTCAAAGAAAACTAAAGGACACACAGCTAAGTTGGCAACTGCAGTTCATGCTGCATTTCCCTACAGTAGTTGCAGATAGAAACAACCATTAGCCCCACTTGCCTTGTGGTGGCACAGCGTCTGTCAACTGGCTCAGAGAAACAGTTAATGAAATCAGTCTTCCCTATTTAAAAAAAAATTATATATATATCTATATATAATATAATATGTATTATATATATAATTTTACACACACACACACACACGGTGCCCAAAAAAATGTATACACATTTTAAGAAAGGAAAACTGTATTAAAATTGTAATACTCAGTGTATACCAATAACAAAAGATGAATACAAGTCACGTTTGACTTCTGCAATTACAAGAGGTGCTCAAAGTGGTTCCCATCAGCGTCCAGACACTTCTGATGACGGCGAACTACTGCTTGAGCAATGTTGACCAAAGTATTAACATTTCTTAAAATGTGAATACATTTTTTGGGCACCCCATATGTGTGTGTGTGTGTGTGTGTGTGTGTGTGTGTATACATATATACACATATACATATATATATTTCTTTTCTTTCTAAATTGTTCCCAACTTTTCAGTTGTAGTTTACCAGCACCTTCCCCTTGATGCTGTTTTTTTCATTCCTGTCATTTTTTTCAGCCCTCCCATTTGATACCAGATAAAATCCCTATTGCAAGGCAAAAAATAAAAAACCATGTTGGTAAATATGAGTCGGCATGGAAGTGCTTTCTACAATGAACAGATAGATAGAGCAGTTTAAAACCACTTAGAAAGAATATTGGTTCAAAATCCAAACAGTCTGTGTTATAGTCATTTCCCAAAGCAAAAGTCCTCCTTGAGAGGCATGTAGTCTTCTGAAAGACTACCGATGTTTTCCCCCTCATTTTAATAACATGCACCATGGAGTCGCCTCTGTGTGTGTGTGTGTGTGTGTGTGTGTGTGTGTGTGTGTGTCCCCATGTGCACACAACACCTCTCATGGGAAGAAACCCTCAGACAGTTCCCAGTGCAGTAAGTCCGGATTTCCAAATAACAATTTTTAGTCTTGTATACCAGAAATATTGTGTCTTGTTCTTGGTTATGACAGGTGCCGAGAGGTTTTTATTATTTTTTTTCCCGTGCTAAATGCCACTCCGCCTATTTCTGACGTTTATACTTTTTCAATTTCTGATGTTTATACTTTTTCAAGTTTTCAAATTGCAGCCTTTTAATATTCAGCGGGAGGAAATAGACCAAACATACTCCCATTTAAAGTCTCAAGTTATATTTTTGCATCTTTGCTCAAGAGGGATGAAATCACTGGGAAGATCTTGAGAGAGAAATTTTGCGTTGATCCTTTTGGGGAATCCTGTGTATCCTGTGACAAATACTCCTCAATTTTTAAGCACATCAAAAATACTTTTTTCCTGATATGGTCATTTTTCAGGACTCTCTCTCTGGTTTTGCCTAGGTAATTCAAAGAGAAACGAGACTTTTTCCTCAATCAGAAAATGTAGGAAAGATGTAAAGGAATATACTGATTATATAATTCTTAGTTGAAATTTAATGTTGATAGTGTTCATTCTCTCCCAGAGGCTAGGAGCTAGTTTATTCCACCACGATGTTATACTCACTGGACACATGGGGCAAAGCAATTGGGCCTTGAAGAAGGAACGATTTGCTTCTGGGTTTATTTTGTTTTTGTTTTTAAATAAGGAACAACACAGGCACATTATTCATTCTAAATTCAACTGCTTACAAAGCTTAGCCAAACACTCAGTTGTTTTTGTTTTTTTTTGACATTTTATAAACAGATGGACAATGAAAAAAAGGGCGATCTTGCCTTCCTCCTTATATAACATATACATGTTTAGGTTACGGAGTTGGCATTTATCACTATTTTTCATAGAATGCCACTCTTACCTGATAGAGTGTAACAAAACAGAGGAGCCTTATGAAATTTGAATTCCGGATCGTAAAGTTCCATGCATTCATCTATGCCATGATGTGGTCATACGTGCTTGGCCCATGAAGTGGACCCTGAAGCATGTTAATTTTTCTCATGCCTCCGTGCTCTTTCAAGTTTGTCATGAGAAGCAAAATCCATCCTTTCTCAAATATAGGCATCTAAACATATGTGTCTTGCCGCAATTATGTTGTTTATTGGTTGAGTCGCACCCGTGGCCCTCATGATTTTGATTACCCGTTTCCCCTCCATCAGTTGGAAACCTCGTCTGTTACAGAAAAAATATAAGCCCACGTGACAGCACTTCTGTCCTTCTGAATGAATGGCTGTCACTCTTCCTCAGCAGTTCAGAGGCAGCAGCGGATGTAATATTGTGCCTGCTAACCGGTGTTACCACCACATTCCGTGGTTCCATCTGAAACGTGTAAATAAAGCCAGCATGAGGCCGATAGAGCTGCCAGATGATTCTCTCACGGGACCCAGGACGACATGAGTAGACTCGTCAGGAAGATCTCTGGTGTTGAAACTGAAATCAACCCCATCTTCTTTAAACTAGGCCAAAGGCTATTCATTCTTTCATGCCCTCACATTCTTGAAGGGAAGGGATGTATGTGTAGAAAGCACCTAGATAGAGATATACCAAGGGCTTTACATGTGATATTTCATTCTCCAAAGACTCCTGTGTCATCTCCCTTCTCCAGGTAACACAGTTGGAGCTCAGAAAGGGCAAGGAACACAAAGCTAGCAGAGCACAAAATCAGGGTTGAACCCAGTCCCCTCTGATGCATAGCCTGTTATTTACAAAATGTGTAGGTCTGTGGAGTTGGTGCATCTCCCAGTGTGTTTGTTTGTTTTTCCTTCTAACATCAAATTCATTAAAAAGAAAAAAGGATATTGTGAGAATCATTTAATATTTTGGTGTACTAACTTATACTTCCTTTACAACCAGACCGTCAACATTTGGGTGTTTTGCTGGGAGGAAAAAAAAAATCAGCTATCTGAAATAGGAAATTTTTATGCAGTTGAGCCACATGGAAATTTGAGGCATTTTCCAAGACATTGTTTTGACCGAAGCTCTATGCTGCTGAAAAGAGGAAGCCACTTTTGGCCTTTGGGTCAAATTCCCCGATATTTTCAAATCGCCCATTTAGAAACATGAATACAGATGTGCCCCAGAGAAATGGGTTTTCACCATTGAGCCCATTAATAGACGTTGGCGAATTCCTGAGTGTGGATTGGGTGGGTCCCTTTGGCAGCATATTTAATTTATAATGCAAACTGCTTAAAGGATTAGTGTTCATAAGGGAAATAAGGAATTTAAAAGTAGGGTGAAAAAGTAAAAATGTCTTAGAAACTTGACATTACAAGAGGGAACAGTGAGCTTGACTCCCCCTTCTGTGGAAACTGGTTGGGTAAAGGCTTGTAGACCAGATGGCAAGAAGTTATTCAAACCATCCCAGCATGCTTCAGGGAAGAGGGGGTGGCACTGGTCCATTCTGACCTCTGCCCATCTCTTTGGTCTGTTTCAACCAAGTATCTTCATAAACAAGGGCAGATGCAAGAAGGGGTGTTTGTGCTTTTTGACATTTCCATCATATTGGTGCTTTGACCAACCATCACTACGGGGTGGTGAGTTTCCCCTCTCTGCATCCATGGGTCCAGTTGGGTGGAACAGACAATACAGGACGAGAAATAATTTTTTTTCCTTTTTCTGCACAGAAGGCTATTATAGAAATGGTCTCTTCCATTCAGAAGCTTTTGCTCAATAATTTAGTACAATTCTGACCCAAGTAAAATTCTGGATAAAAAAAACGAAACAAAAACAGTTTTATTAAAGTTACTTGAGGTTTTAGGTTTTATGTATTAGATGCAGCAACTACAATGACCCAGCTAGGCAAGAGCTGAGAGGGCAGTAGCTAAATCCCATTACTGACAGATTTCATAAGGGAGCTAGAATATGCTATCAGAATATAAGAATTAGTGTAAAAATTCCACTCTTTAGGGAATCTTATTTTCTCCATTTGAGTAATTTCTAAGTTATTTTTATAAGCATTTGCATTACTGAACATGGTAAGACACATTTAAGGTTTTCTTTATACAAAGTAAGGGTACTATTCTTGGAAATCTGAATTTCATTTTACGTGAAGCATTGGAGACTGAGGAAAATGGACTTATCTTTGCTTCCAAGCCCATGAAGGAAAAAATAATCAGTTGCAGAACATCCTCTTTAGAAAAGCACCTAGGTAGGACATAGTCCTCAACAGTGTGCTATCTGGTGACTTTGTAGCGTGTCTCCAGCTGCTTATGCAATTTCTGAGGTGGTTGCCAGAGGGTGACTGAAAAATATTCACCAGGCCTGCAGCGTGTTTAAAACATGATTAAAAATGCAGCAGTGTTCGACTAAGACACCACAGTACTAGGAAATATATTAGCCAACATGCCATGTGGTTACCTGCCAGAAACATTTCTGCAGCAGGAGAGAGGGAAGGTGAGCTGGCAGATAACCTTGTGAAGACAATGAGAAAATTAGGGTTAGCCAAATAGGAAGAATTACAGAGTTCTCTGAGAGAAGCATCAGCCTCCACAGGGAGGTGAACTGGTTCTGTGGGGCTTCCATTCATCACCTCATGACCTTGAGGTAGTGTCTGAGGCTTGCACACTCCGAGCGGCAGCATCTGAATGAGAGGGCTGGGACTTTCTGGACTCAGTAAACTTTGAAGTTGTGCAAAATGTAACTTCCCTCTTAGAGTCGCTCTGTTGACAATAACCATGGTATTACACCACAGCATAATAATTTCTATAGTGGGGCAATAAAAACAAAGTAACTGAAATAAGTCTTGCTTTTATGTTTCTTAGGAATCTGAGAAAAAGGGCTTAATTGAAAGAATATATATGGTACAGGATATTGTTTCAACAGTTCAAAACATCTTGGAGGAAATAGCTTCTTTTGGAGAAAGAATTAAAAAGTAAGTTCTACTGTTTATGTTGTTGTGTTTGAAGTGGAGCTGCCATCCACAGGGACAGGTGGGGGTCGGAGGCGGGGGATTAGAAAATGCAAAAACCAAAACCAAAAGCAGTGGTGTCAGGTAAACGCTGTTAACTTTGGTTGGTGGTTTTTTTTGTTTGTTTGTTTTGTTTTTTTGGGGGGGGTTGGGAGGGGGGCTTGTCAATTTCACAGTTGGGCAGTGCCTCAGAACTGGGGTGACCATATGGCCCAATTTACACCAATTGTCCCAGCATAGTTATTAATAGTGCCCCTTCCACTCTCAAAAATATCCTGAATTGGGTAATAAACTAGATTAAAAAATAGATTATGGGATTGACAAATAAAAAGGGAAGCAGATATGCTCTAAAGGAGTCTTTTCTGTACAACCACAGACCACAGCCATGCCTTGAGTGAAATTTGTTCTCAATTCTCCAAAGAATGGTACATAATCAGTAGCATCATAGATGCAAAGATGGGACGTTGGTTTATTGCATACATACATGCCTTAAGACAGAGGTCAACAAACTTTCTCTGTAAAGGGCCAGAGCGTAAATATTGTTGGCTTTGTGGGCTATATAGTCTCTGTCACAACTACTCAGCTCTATGGTTTACCTGTAAAAGTAGTCATAATTGATACATAAATGAATGAGTGTGATGTGTGTTCTGATAAAACTTTATTTACAAACATAGGTGGCAGGCCACATTTGACTTAAGTCCTACCCATAGCTTGCCACTCCCTACTTTAGAGCACAAGGCTAACTTCTCTATAGGAGTCCCAATTGAGAAAGACTCTTCTATGATTTGTGTTTGATTGTTTTTTATACATCACTGAACTGTGTATAACTTGCTCTTCATTTGGTATCAATGTATAGAGTAGTTTTTAATTATTTTCTTTGAATTTTAAACTTATTTCGCTCTAAATCCAGAGTTGTATCAGCCATGTTTTTCTTTCTAAAGATTGGTTAATAATCTTTCTTATCTTGAGGGTCAATGTAGTTTCTTTAATGTTTAGAGATTGCGTGGGTAAAAAAGAGAAAAAAAATAGTGCTAAAAGTGAAGTGAAAGTTTTGTCTATCAAGATGCAGGGAAATTGATAAATGATAATTAACGTCAAGAAATATCAATGTTTAATATGAAACTTTCTTTGGATACTGATCTTTCTCAGTTCCTTATCAAATGAAATTGCTCTCAAATACCCATTTATTATTGGCATAGTAAACATGTTTGTTTTGTTTTAAAAATAGGTTAAAACCCATCTTTACTTACACACATTTGGTGAGCTTTTACCGACTTTAAACATTGTTATTCCCATTATCAATGTCTTAAGAGGAGAAAAATGAACAATAGTAGGATTTTTGCTTACATGTATCTACCTGGTTTATTCTTCTAGGTTTCATATAAATTGACAAATGATTCCTGAATTCACCCTCAAAATTGTTTAACAAAAACAGCAGTCACAGTAGAAAATAGTGAAGTGATGAGGAGGGCATTATAATGCTTCATTCATTCACTCATTCAACGATCCGTTACTGAGTTTCAGGCACTGACTTAGTCTAAGAATAAAAAATGCCTCCATAACAATGATAATAGCAACAGTAACTAACGTTACGTGCCAGCCAGATACTGGTGTAAGCCCTGTACACATAGTATAATAACTTCTTCAAGGAGTTACTTAAAGGAATTGGCTATAAATGATTCCAACACCCGTATGGTGTAAGGATTGTTACTATCCCCATTTTACAGATGAGGAAACTGAAGATCAGAATAATTTACTATGTAGCCCAAGGGCACACAACTAGCATGCCCTGGAACTTGCATTTGAGCCTGGCCCCCTCACTATTACACTGTAATGTCATTATACTCTAGGGATCTATTTCCCAATGAGGAAGAAGAACAGTAATAAGACAGCATTCCGTAGCATTAATGCTAGCTAGAGGTAAGACAGGGTCAGACAGCTCTGACCCTCCCGGAAAGAGATGCAGGAGAGAGACAGACAGACAGAGGGCAATTCTGAAAAAGCAACAATGTATCAGCTTCTCTGAGAACTGGAAAAGATAGCTGGGTATAGAACTGATGAAGGAGAGCTTCCACAGGTGGGATCCCTTGTGCCAAGACTCAGAGCCCAAGCCCGTGCTAGCGACGGAGGGGACTTAGTGTCTGTGCCCTAGGTGATGGCAGTGGCAGTGCCTGGAGGTGAGGCACATCGTGCATGGCCTTGGGTGAATGGAAAAAGTCAATGAAAAAAAAAAAATAGTTGAGCAAGGGATGCGCTGGCAGCAAGGAGGAAACACGGATGTGGAGCGGGGGAGAATGAGGAAGGAAGCCCGTGTCTGTGCTTGAATGTCGCTAACAGACAAGTGTGGCTGTTGTGCAGTTGACAATAGTCAAGGAAATGTGTCCGATGAGAGAAGAGGGTAGAGTGATTTAAACAGGCCCCCACTCTCCGGGGCTTTTGAGGGCCGGCTGTGCCCAGCACAGCTGCGGTGGCCATGTCCGAGACGTATTTTCAGCCATGAACAGGGCACTGTTCTGCCAGCCGCAACACAGGAAGGCTCAACTCCTATTCATTCGTTGGCCATTCATTATTCCGGTGACCTTAAAGTTCCTGCTGGGCACTCAAGGGGGGTGTCCGATGTAACTCCGTTGGAATTCCATTGTAATTCAGGGCTTCAGGACCAGGGAAACTTTTTACCCAACTGCTGGCAACTGAGCAAATGAATAGACTTACATAAAACGCTGAGAGCAAGGCTTCCCTGTTACTGATGGGGGAGGAATCCAGTGGTATGGAACTTATATGGAACAAGCTGTTATTTTCTTTTTTCTACCTACGCATTTCAAAGGTACATATATATCAGGCTCAAATGTGAATCACCATGTAGCGTGTACGTTATCCCAGGATGAGTCAGAAGAGTGATTTATATTATATGTCCCATCGCTCTGCAACACTTGTGTTCTTGAGTGGGTAAGGAAATCTCCACGGAGGGGATAATGAGGTTAAGGCAGACCTGTGACCCAGAAGGCTTCCCTGAAATGTTCCACGTTAAGGCTTACAGGGCACATCGTAGGAAGCAGATGTTAAGAAGATGGCTAGGAAGTGATGTTAAGAAATCCTAAGCAATGAAGACGAGAAAGCAGGTGAAGGGCAGTTTGAATCATGATGAGGACCTGGGAATGACAGATTAATGTATCTTGTGTTTATAATGTATCTTGTATCTTGTAATCCAAGAGGAACAGGTTGGAAGGGACTGAGAAAGAAGGTAGAAAAACCAAGAGGGCCAGAGGCCAGGTATGAGGAGTGAGGTCCCAATTAGTGTGAAAACCATGTTAGCATCATGTTGGGTGCATCACAAAAGAATAATCTACAGGATTATAAGTCCAGAGGTTTCTGTGTCCATGGGCAAGGGGGTGAGAGGACATCATCTGTCCAAGCCTGGGAAATGAGGAAAATAAAGACTCCATTGACACAATGGTCAACTAGTAGGGTAGCCATTAAGGGGCAGGGACTAATGAGGGACCACCCACCTTACCAGACATGGTCACAACCATTTCTGTTCAGTGTTTCAAAATTTTGAAAATGATATTCTTCAGACATGTTAGTGAACCTGAATGGTTGAATAAATGAAAGGAATTCATTGATTTTTTTTTTCATTGATCAAAAGGTTTGGCTCATATTTTTCTCCTTACTGACCAAATCAGGGATTCCCTTCTTAGTATTTAGGGATCTCCCAAGTCAGGAAAACTGGGGACATTTCTGAAAACGTTTAACAAGTCATGTGATTTCAGGATGGGAAGCTTTGACTTACCAGGGTTCTTCAACCTTGGGTGTTCTGTAGGAAACTAGCACTGCAAAACACTCCGTGACAAAAGAGGCGAGAGTCTAGTCTAGTCCGTTTCTGAGTGTTAGAGATGTTACTATGCAGTGTGCTGGCTGGGAGCTCCAATACAAAGTAGAATGGAGCTGGTGTGTTTATGAATATTCTTTTCCCAGACACGAAAGCCTTCAACATTTCCCCCTTAAGGACTGGTCAGTAGACAAATAAGTGACTGAAGGTGGGAACCAGGAAGAGGCAGCAGTCTAGGTACTCATAGTCTCTTTCCACACCATTGGATCTACAGATCATTTCCTAGAATTGTGCAAGATTTCCACAGTACATTCCATTTCTCATCCCATATTCTTGGTTTCCATTTCCACACAAGTGGTGCAAGTAAAGGAGCTGGGGTTCCCTGTGAAAATATGCAGGAGCATCACTGACTCCATTATCTACGGGTTGGGGGTGCAATGGTTTATAGGCAGATGCTCCCCAGCCCATTTCAGGCCACTGTTCACCTTCTGTTGCAAATGAGCTCAGAAACCCTAAATACCTTACTAGAAAACCCTGTAATATTGTCCTCCCTTCCCTAAATACTTACTGGCAGCCATGTGTTAACTGAGAGAGAAATATTGACTTCGAAGTGACCTAAGTAACCTGTCGTTGTGAAGATCTCCGTGCATGGAGCCATTGTGACAATATTGCCATGTTTGATCACTTTAGAGAGCCAACGTCTTCTCTTGGGAACTGTCGGTTCCAAGAAGTTCAGGGGCAGCTGGTCTGGTGACCTTCTCCTGAGGAATGTTGCCCCAGCGCCCAATCATTATGGCAGACTTTCATCTCCAGGGTTTTAAAGAGACTTTTCCCATAGATCGTTGTCATTTATATAACTAAGACATAAACCTGGCAAATGCATATACATACAGAGGGTGCCAAAAAAATGTATACACACTTTAAGAAAGGAGAAAACTACATTAAAATTGTCATACTCAATGTATACCAATAACAAAAATGAATATGTCATACATTTTTTTGGCACCCCTGGAATAGATAGATAGATAGATAGATAGATAGATAGATAGATAGATAGATCTGTTCAAACCTCAGAGAAAATGATATTGATGTGATCTGTTTACAGCACATTTAACTGGACGGTCCCATTCCTTTCATTCCTGGCCTGTGTGATCCTGGCGGTCGCCACCATCACGTTGTATTTCATTCCACTTCGGTACATCGTTTTAATCTGGGGTAAGTTTGGCACGGTCCCTTTCGCTAGCAATCAATTCCAGGTAAGAACCAATTACTCATTTTTAAAGCGTGACTATAAACTTTAAATGTGCTCCTGTTGGCAATTAAACACGAGATGAAGGAAAGCATACAAGGAACGGAAACTCCCAAGACCTCCCTGAAAAGGCCAATGGCGTGAACAACCTGCATAGCTATTTATAAGCCTCTTGCATAACTGTGATCAAATAAAAACGGGATCGTGCACATGATTTCCCTTTAGCTTTCAGGGTCATAGATTCTCTTGAATAATAATATATTGCTGTGGCCCAGTAACTTTCAGAAAACACTCGTTACCCGAACACCTGTACCGTGCCCTTTATATTAGGTAAAGGTAGCCAGGTTGCTCCCGACACTTCATCTCTCCTGAAGAAAAAAAAAAATAACCCAACCCAATACTTAAATCCAGAAGCAACTGGGGGAAAGGGAGGGGCACTCACTGATTACCTAGCCAGTGAAAGAAAGGAGACGAACCTATTAGTTACCTGGGGGAAATGATGTGCCCAAATAAAGTTTGAGCTGCTTTGAAAAAGTAGACACCAAAATGGCAAGCTTGAAAGAAATTTCATGACTTGATTTACGACTCTACCTCCCAACTGGACAAAATACTAGCAGCTTGGTGAATATTTGCATCTGTAACCGGGGAGGCTCTGGGTTGATATGAGGAGTGCACATTGCAGTAAACTCATTGTTGGAGAGGTCGTCAGCTCCTCTTCCTCTTCTTCCCAAGAGCCTGTGTCAGTCCTGGTTTTCCATTACTTGGCTTCTGTGACTGCTGCTGAGTTCTCAACCATTGTCCCTATCAGGGATCTTAAGATGTTAAGATGTTCAGGTAGGTTACAAACACGAGAGACACCGATGCAATGCATTCATCTTTAGGCAAAAGCTGAGAGCACACAGGTGCAGGATAAAGGCTTTTATCTACAACCTTTCTAAAGCCATGAAATGGAGACCTTTTCAAAGAGAACCCACAGAGGTAGAATCCTGATGTGAAAGGAAGCGAGACCTATACATTCAGAAGTGATGAGATGCCGTAGGAAAATAAAATAACGCATCACATTTCAGAAGTAGGATGGTCTTAGGAGGACCACTTAGGATGGTCACAATCGGTTCATCGTCTATTTTGTTCAGAAGAAACCATGGCTTACCCAACTTTGTCCCTCTGTTTGATAGACAGCACAGTAATAACTCTTACATGGAAGGTATTCAGTGTTTGATACATGAGCGAGCAAGGACCTTGCACCCTACCAACGTATGGTAGTCATGGCTACAAGCCAGTCACTCATATAAATATCTGAAGACTTCTGTTAGAGTTCTGTGTCCAGTGGTTATTCTCCAGTGGCCATATGTGCAAGGCGGCCGTGCAGTTTTTCCTCTCTCTCACTTTCTCCAAGTGTTTTCTTTTCATCGGCAGGCTGATTCCACTCCACCAATATATAGTCTATCCAGGATCTGAGACCATTAAATGACCCCTGGGTAGTTGGTTCTCTCACTTATCAATACTTTATTTTTGGGCTATAAAGAAAAAAAAATCACAGCAGATATGCCCTCAGTCTGTCAGTATTGTCCAGGTTAAAAATCTAAAGGGATGTCTGGCATGCAGCTGGATAAAGCGACAACTTCCCAATTTGGATATGTGATCACATGCCTTATCATATAAAGACCCCCCTGTCACACCTCTTTTGTTTTCTTGGCTTACTGATGCATCTACAGCAACAGTGGTGCTCCCTCCCTTGTTGTGGAATTTCAGATTACAGGATCCTCTTGGCCTGGGTTGCCAAGTGGGATTCCCCCATCACCCTAGGGCGGGTCTTTATTATTCAAATTGTGATAGGAGAAATCTGAGGCACAGGAAGGTTAAGTGATTCATTGGAAGCCACACAGCAAATGTTGAAGCCAGAGCTGGGACCCTGTGTTATTTCTGCTCGATAGCCCTTGTCCCTTGCCCCTTACAGATGACCAAGGATCACATGATGCCCTGTGGATACTTGGTCTCACACAGTAGATACTCATGGTGGCATTACTGACATTGGAGCCTGTGACACCTTAAAAAAAATAAATAAGGTGTGATTTCGAAGCACGCCATCTGAGTGAGCGCCTTGTAATTTTTATCCCATCTCAGGTTTTTTAAACATAGGCAGTCCCCGTGCATTGTGGGCTGCCGCTGGCCTTATCGGTGCATTGGAGCTGCTGTGTGCAGGTTTATAATCTTCTCAGTAACTAAGAATGCGTGTTTTGATCGGCTGTGATATTAGCCCTGCCTTGCTGTTCATTGTAAAGACTCCAGATGTGTGCACTATATATAATTAACAATAGAAGCTATATCTCTTCTCAGTATGCCTTTGTCTCCCTTTATCATTTTGCCTTGTCTGTTTTCTTTTGCCAAAAAAAAAAGCCCATGCTACAATTAATGTCTTTAGAATAACACAGTGAGAGTATTTTAGTTTAAAGGCAGGCTGGGGGAAATTTTAGCTAGAAACACGAGGCTTGCTGTGGGGGTAGAGGGAAGAAAGACAGTGCAGCTTTGACTTGAGAGAACAGGATCGTTTTGCCAGACGTCTCACCCAGACCAACCACCAAGCTACCATTTACCTGTGAACAATGGCTGCCGCCATTTGCAAAGCAAATGTAAACCTGAGCCCCTCTAAAGCAACGACTGGAGGTTGGCATTGTGTCAGGTACAATGCCACGCAGGAAGTCCTGTCCTTAGAGGAAAGCCAAATAATAGTTAATGAAATAAGGAAAACATCAAACCTTTTATGTGCTGGGGACCCTTGAACATTTAAATGTTACCTTGGCATCAGAGCAGGAGTCCGTCAAGGTCTATACCTCAGGTGAGAATACATTCCTCATCACCAGGATTGACAAGGGCTTCAGATAGGATCCCTGTTAAACAAGCACTTTGGGGCAAAACTTCAGGCGTCTTTCTGCTTCTAAACCTCAGCACGAAAAAGACTTGACATTTGGCGAAAAGACCACAGTTGATAAGCTCTGGCTACAGGCAAGTAGCAGAGAAAGGGGCAGAAGAAGGTTGAGTAGGCCCCCTCCGAAGAGGAAACCATGGGCACAGCTTGTCTTGAACATGCCCAGCGCCCAAGGCGCAGCCACCAAAGACATCTTAAACCCCTTCTAATCACCCTTATCCTTGGCTGAAGTTAGCACAGCCTCCATTGCCTAGACAAACCCACGCACCAGTGTTGTGGTCCATGAATTAAGTTAGCAGCCCTAGTAAGATAATTTTCCAATAATAACTTTTCACAGTTTCCTGCAGCCTCCAAGTACAATCAACATGTCAAGTTCTGTTCTGCAGCGAGAGAAGAGAAACCTGTGAAAATGAGTTGGGGGGTGGGGAGGGAGATAGATTTTCTGCAGCTTCTTTTTAACAGCAGAAAAGCGACTTCCGCTCTGTACCTCCCACTGCTACAGTGGGTCCAGAGCCCCCATGCAGAGACATGTTTGGGCTAATGAAGGCCTTTCCCCATCTGGGACATCTCTTTCCTTGCAGAGGAGGCTGTTAATCAGTGTAGTCCAAAAAACGCCGGAGAGCTCTACGGTTTTTGTATGTATTTCTGCTGCCCTGCTGCTGGGATGGTGATGGGATTTTCACAGCTAACGAAGGCAGAGTCTTCCTGTGGCAATCCCCCCTTCCTTCCTTCCTTCCTTCCTTCCTTCCTTCCTTCCTTCCTTCCTTCCTTCCTTCCTTCCTTTCTTCCTTCCAGAAAAGGCATCTGTGAATGATTCCACATGATGGCAAAGTGGGCATGGCTTGAGGTTTAGTAATTGTGTTCACACTAATTTTTACTTGTGAATGCCTCCCTGCCCCCAGTCAGGCGAGTTTTTAAAGATAGATGATAGATAGATGATAGATGATAGATAGACAAACAAAAGATCTCCCTGTGTTTCTATTTTTCAGGCATAAATAAATTCACTAAGAAGCTTCGAAATCCCTATGCCATCGACAATAATGAACTACTAGACTTCCTCTCCAGGGTACCGTCGGATGTTCAAAAGGTGTGTAATGAACGGTCACCACCAACAGGGCCCCCAACACGGAAGTCTGGCCAGCCCCAGCGCCAGAGGAGCACAAGGCTGTGCCAGGGAGTAATTGAGATAAAGGATCAGAAAATCCTTAAAGAGGCCTGGCTGGCAGGGAGGTGGCAAGAAAAGCTTTGTCCCAAAGCATGAGATGATTGGGGAAAATTATCCTGAAAAAGAGCTACTTAAGAATGATCTGGAACTCATACTGCGCGGCTGTAATGCCGTGGTGTTTGTCCCTTTTTTGATTGCTTACCTCCCCCAAAGAGAGGATAAGATGGACTCAGTGAGTGGGAGATGGTGTGATCCAACGCTGGGGGAGGCTTGCTTAATTTTCTCCTCTTCCCGACGGCAGGCATCTTATGAGAAGTAGGGGACAAAGGGATTATTCTTTTTATTCTTGTTTGCCCCACTTATCTCCCAGGCCTCCCTTCTATCTCTTTCCCTCTGAAGACTTAGGGATGCTTAGTGTAAAGCCCCCACTTACTCTAGTACACACAGAGGCAGAGATGGCGTGAAATAATTTGAGATCAATCGGAAGTATTATTCACAGGTAATGGTCACTTAGTCCAGCGGCGTCCAGTTTCTGTGGATACAGAGAGATTAACCAGGGCAACAATGCCAGAAAATCCCATAGAACGGCCCAGTCTGGGCCCCCGCAGATGAGGCTGCTATAAATCCAGAGGAAGGGAGTGGGGCAGGCAACAATTTCTGTAATGGAGAATCTGTAGATGGGAGACTATGGCATGGAATAGCGTCACAAGGATCAAACACACAATCCTTTATTATGTGGCACAATCCCAAATCAGATATCAATTTTCATCTTCGGGCCACTGTGACATAATTGGCTCCCTGGCAGCTCTGGGTGGGTGGTGGGGACATAGGCACTAGAGTACCTTTCCCCTTCATTCCAAGTTCTAGAGATTAAAATAGACTCTGTGATGCTATATTCCTCTAACCTTCATGTTATGATATAATTAGCTATTCAAATGCATTCTATAAATATGAATTTACTCCTTAACATTTGCATTACATGATTATAAAGTCGTCACCTGGCCCTCGTTTGTTTTGCATCGGAGATTGACAGGCATGCCATCCATCCCCTGCTCCCCCAGGGGCCCTTCACGAAACACTCTAAGGCTAGCGTGCTTTTGTTCACATACCTGCTTTTGACCAAGTGTAGCTCAGCGTATGTGAGAGCGCCTGGTGTCCCTGGGGAGTTTGGCATAAATGCTCAAAGGAGTCAGCACATGTGGTCTGCTATACAATACTTTAAATACAGCCATCCTACCATCAGCCCATCAAAGCTCACACACCAAAGCAATAGGATTGCAATGTACCATCACTTGAGTGGCAACATGAGTCCGTGCCTGCATCCTTGAAGAATGTAAATGGCCATCAATGCCCACCCCCAAGGATTGTCTGTGCATAGTCCAGACACCAGCCCTCAGAGTAGTCATTCCAGTTGGAGTTGCCATGAGTACAGAGGGCACGACAAAAGAGCATGCCAGGGAGATACGCAGTATTCTAGCGCGACCCTCTGTGTATCGCCAAGAGCACTTTCTAATAACACGATAGACACTTTGCCACTGGGGACTCCCCACTGCTCATATTTATCACAGATGTTTTAGCCATTACATTGGAAATGAAATTCATTTTTAAGAGAAATCTCTATATAAGTCTGGGGCCCGTATCAATTTCAACATTATTTCCCTCTCTGGCAAAATAAATACATATAATGTGCAGAGATTTTTTTTTCCCCAAGATTTTAGATACTTTTAAATGAATAACTCTTCGTAAGTTGATGTATCATGTACTAAGATAAACATTCCCAAGAGGCCGTGATTAAGCTCACTTATGGTGGAAAACGGGCACGCACACAAAGCTAAAAACCCCTCGCAGCGCTGAGAGCAGGTAGAACCCCTTGCATCTCATTAGAAAAATCTGCTTTTAATATTTTGGTTTCAAGAAATGATGCATGACTTCTCAAATCCTTCCTGTAATTAATCCCTCCATGTTCCTGTGTTTAGAAAATGATTCATTACCTTTGAACCTTCCTTCCTTCGCCTCGGTGTGTCCCCGGGGAGCCATTAACACACACTGCGGCGAGCTAGGGTTACCCTACCGCCAGCGTCATGTCTGTTTGTTTTCACAGGTGCAGTACGCGGAGCTGAGGCTCTGCAGCAGCCAGAGCCCCCTTCGGAAGAAGCGCAGCGCTCCCTAGGACGCGCACCGACTGTAGACACCAGCGCCTGACTCTGGGTTTGGGTGATTGGACCAATATACCGTTCTTTCAGTGATACCCGGGGTGTTCTTCTGAAATGCCACGTGTACCACGCTGTTGCGTAGCACCCTCTCTGTACCCTACCCCCATCTTCAAGCGCACAGATGCACACACGCACACACACGTGCACAGGTGTCCTAATTGTGCAGCGGGTCGGCCCAGCCAAAGAAGACAATCCAAAGACTGTGAACAACTAATACCCCTTGTCCTATAGGAGACCAGGCAAAGATGCTGTGGGTCTGAACACCCTCCTTGAGAACAGCCCGGAGACCACTTGGATTCCAGAGTGACTTTGAACTTGTTTTCACATCTCCAGCAGATTCTCATTAAGATTCACTCATTTTGATTCCCCACCTCCACACTCCTTTCAGGTTATTGTACATGTGAGTCCATTTTTTTTTTTTTATGAGTTGACAAGTCTTTGATAGCTATCGTTTACCCAAATAATGTATATTATAAACAGATTTTTAACTAATTACCAGGATAAGCCTGAATTTTTGAGAATTGTTCAGCTGTGATTATGGAAGACCTGCATAAAATTTCGGTAAAGATGTCGGTGCTGGATGCCAGCCAACCGGCGTGGCATTGCTGGCAGTGGATGGCCCGGGAAGGTCCAAAGGGAACGCTCATCTGAAAAGTGAAGGTTTCGTGGAAGTATTTGGTGGCCTTCAAACTACATTTCTTCCCAGTTTACTTTTTGCTTATTTCCATAATAAAATATCAATACTATAGCTCCAGAAAGCGGGAGGGAATGAATGAATGAATTCTGAGACTACTTAGAAAGGTCAGGACCGAGGAGCAAGGAACGAATACAGGTGGCTGCTTACCTCATTGTCATAATCACCCTATTCCACTGCTTTTTTGAAGCAGAAAGTGAAAATACTTCAGCAGTCCAAACGGATCTTTTGTTCCTCTTTTGGGCACATAAGCTACCCATAATAAAAATATATCTCTGAGCCCCATTCCTAGAAAAGTAACACCTCACAGTCTTCCTTTGAGAGTATCTGATTTCTTCAGACCCACCATTTCACAGTAACACCACCAACCCCAAGTAAAAAAATCCCAATTTTGTGCACATCTATGACATATGCAGATTTCTTTCTATTCAAATGACATGTAAGTTGTAAAGACTAATTTGTTGTTACATACTTTGGATGTGCATATATATATATACATATATATATATACACACATACATACACATATATATATATACATATATATATATATATGTATATATATATTTGAAAAGTTGAGGTAAAATTTAATAGGGAGTTTTTTTTCCTTCTCGGGGTTGTAATTTAATAATCTTCAAACAAAATGTTTATGAGAAATGCCAAGATTCTAAACCTTATCATCCCGTGTCTGTTTTTCTTCATATTATGTCTTCCTGGGTTGCTTTCTGGCTGAGCTAGATTTCTGCATGATTTGATTTACTTCAAGTTAATGAAGCTAGCTGGAAAAGAGTCTTGCAGAAATTATAAAAGCTCCAGTAAATCTCTTAGTTGTACATACAATAGATACCCAAGAACCTCTTTTGTTAAACCGGTTACTCAATCTTCTGTGTAAACAATGCCTCATTGTCTCACTCCCAACTATCATCTAGTTTATCACAGTCTGTCATTTCGTAAGGACCTAAGTCAGACATTTTTAAACAGACATGTGAGATCTGATCAGTCATTTGAATGAAAACTTTCAGCAGCAAAATAACCCCTTATTTATTTAAAAGTGGAACCAGTGCTTTATTGTTGTTCTTTTTCTATAGAATTTCAAAATGAAATAATTTGCCTGACAAGAAGGCATCATTAGGTAGACGTTTTCTTCCCTCTGTAGCTCAACTGAAATTCTCAGCCTTAAGTTTAGACTACAAACAGCCACCGGGATGCAATAGCAAGACCAAATCAACCTTTAATAAGCTGTGTATTATTATGAAAACGATTATGACTTGATTAAGTAGACACTGGACATTAAAAATGAATGTTAGCTGTGAGTGAAATGTGCATATTTATATAAGTAATCAGAAACATGTATGGAAGAGCCCAGGATGGTTTAAATAAAATGTGTGGATTACGGATTCACAGTGTGATAATTAAAGATAATTTTGTAGGAAGGTTGAAGTTTTGCCAAGGTCTCCTGGCTCTGTTTTCAAACCTCAGACACCTGGTTCCAGCCCTACCTGGATATCTTACAGGCATCTATATACCTCAGTGCGTCAGAAACTCAACGTTCTTTCTCCCTCCATGTCTTTGGGACCCCTAACCCTATCGTCTCCTTTTAGCTTCCTTATTGGTTGGCACTGACATCATCTTGGCTGGGAGGCCTTGGGCACCCCCTTTTTTGTTGCTCATTCTTTTCCCCCCATCCTTCAATTTATAAAATTAGGTAGATCCGGTGTTGACATGCTATCTTTTCCATTTCTATCTTGTCTATTTCCAATCTCCACCACCCAAAGCCCCCACCCTAGTTGAGGCCTCTGTAACCACTTACAAGTCATGGCAATGGTGCCAATTACATCAGGCCAGGTTAGCCCTCACCTAGATCATTCTTTTAACTTAGAATACTTTCTTCTCAGTACTCAGTTTCTAGGTCAATTCTACCCTTCTTCAAAACTTTAAAAGTCTCATGCCCCAAATAGGCTTTCTTAGTTCCTTGGCTGGATGAGATTCTACCTTTCTCTTTTGTACCCCCATATCTTATATATCTTTCTTGCATCTGCTATAGCTCTTAGTCAGCAGTGGCCTTAACTCCCGCTGTCCTCCACTGAATAGCTCATCCTATCTGGCATCTCATAGACACTCTTATGAATACACATGTAACTGACCAGGTCACAGATGCCTTTTCTTTTTCTCCCCTTTCGTGTGTGACTCACAACAGAGGGCTGACCTGCATAGATGAGTGTGGTCTAGGAAATAATTGTTTGGATTAAATGCAAAGCTTATATTGTGTGATATTATTTAGAAGCTCTGGCAATGATATCTGTGGGCTGCAGAACAATTTTTGATTCTTTTTCTCGTCATTTACCATTGACGGTCTGGCTGAAGAAAACAGGCTACATTCCCATGATAGAGCGAGACATGAAACAGATGCTTTTGAGCGGTGGCATGACATTCCCATGTTTTAAAAAGGAGCGTTCTGGCTATCGTGGGTAGACCAGCCATTCTGCATGTTGGGAGAAGAGCCAATTGCAGAACTCCTGATAAGTTGATGGTGGCCTGGACTTTCCATTAGTGGCACTGGAAAAAAATATATATATATATACATAAGTGACAGTAGCAGATAACATGAGCCGGATGCAACAGTTGCTTCCCTGGGGAGAGACAGGAATCAGGGATGACTGTCAGTCTTCTTATCTTCAGGTCTAGGAAGATGGCGTTGCCTTTTGCTGAGGGAGAGAATTACAGCAGCGGCCACGGGAAGACGTGCATGAGCCCAGTGTTAGATGGTGAATTTGTGGTGCCTGAGAAGCCTCTAGATGGATGTCTAAGAGGTAAAGGAATATGTGGATATACAGCAGAGAGCATACATGTACTGAGCTCGAGAGATAGACATGGAAGGGCCACCATTCACAGAAACCGATAGAAGCTACGTATTTCAAGAGTCTGAACTCAGCTCTCAAAGTCATATGGATAAAGATAAGCCAGCTAAGAGTATAAATAGAAATAGAATTAGAGAGAGAAATAGAATTAGGAGAAAAAACAGTAAGCGTGTGCTTTCATAGAATTTAAGGATAGAGTGTGTTTCAAGAAAGCAGGTGTGGTTCAAGCATGCTAAATGTCATTGAAATCACATAAGTTGAGGACAGAATAATGACCTTAATGACATGGAAATTTTGGGGGGGGTGTGTTGCTTGTCAGCAAGTCATTTTGGTGGAGTGGTAGGAATGGAAATCAGATTTGGGTTGAGAAGTAAGTGGATATAGGAAAATGGAGACTGAATGGCGGTAACTCTTGAAAGTTCCACTGGAAGCAGAGGGGACAGGGAGGGCAGTGGCTAGGAAGGAAAGAAATTAGATGTGTCATGAACTCAGCATATACCTATTAGCTACAAAGAAATTGTTCATGAGCATGTGATGGGGTTGACCATGTTCGTTATTTAAAACCATGTTCTGTCAAAACCCACCTCCCCTGAAGGAGAAGGGGAAGGGATGAGACAATACAAATTGGTTACTACAATATGGCCTCAGGGATAGAAAAGACAGTCTGGGGAATATAATCAGTAATGTTGTAAATATATATATATTTTTTAATGTAAATATTTTTTAGTGGGCCAGATGGACTCATGTCTTGTTAGGGAGACCACTTCATAGTCGGTATAGAGGCCTGACCACCGCACTGTATTTCTGAAGCTGACGTTGAATAATAATGTATGTCAACTATAATTATATATACATATAGTCACAGGACGTGGAGTAGAGTGTGGGAATGGAGTCAATGGAATTGTAATAGATAAGCATGATATCAGGGGTGGGAGGGCAGTAGATGGGGGAGAGGGGTTGTTTCTGTGCGAAAGGTGAAAAGGATAACTATTGCATTGTTCCGTACATCTGAAACTAACAATAAAAATAATAATAATAATAATAAAAAACCCCCACCTTCCCTTTACATGGGATTAATGTAACATTTATGGCAGCAGAATGGTTGGGAAATTGAAATAGACTATCCTCTGCAAATATTATGAGCAGTCAATTGGTAATTAAATGAAAATTGAAGGGTGACTTCTAAAGAATGGCTTAAAGCTCGTTACTCTTTACATAGGTTTCTTTTTATAAAGCCTGCCATTTTGTTCTGGCGTTTTAATGTAATGATTTACATGGGGAAAATAGATAGTGAAGCATATAAGAATAGTTAACATTTTATAACACTTATCAAATTCCAGTTCTTTCTAAGTGCTGTAGATGTAATAGCTCATTTAATAATAAAAAAATATGAAATGTCTCTAAATACCTATGGGGGAAAAATCACCAATCTTATACAAACTCTGAAAATAGCAAAAAAAAAAAAAAGATACCACTTTTCTACACATTTTATGAAGCCAGCATAATCCTCATTCCAAAATCTGACAAGGTCATACAAAAATGGAAACTTAGCTACTAAAATCCCTTATGAATATAGATGTAAAATTATGAAAGATATATAAGCCTCTACGCTTGACAAAAAAATAATAATAATGAGAGGAAGAAGATCAATAATTGAAGGGAATTCATGGATTAGAAAATTCAATATAGGGCCAGCCGAGTGGCTCAGCTGGTTAAGAGCTTGCTTGGGAGTGGCCAGCTCTGAGCAGCAGGGCTGCGGTTCGGATCCCACACTGAGGGCCAGTGACACTGCCCTCTGCAGCTAGGATGATGAATAGCGGGCTCAACCTGGAGCTGGGCTGCTGTGGGTCTCTGGCGACTGCGTAGGCTGCAGCAGGGCTGCAGTGGGCTGCCATGAGCTATGTGAGTGGCTGGCAGCCAGTGTGAGTGGCCAGCAGCCGGTGTGAGCTGCCACGAGCCTCTGTGAGCGGCTGACCAATGACTGGCGAACAATTGCCTCACCTGGGGAGGAGCGCAATGATATAATACCAACATGGGCCAGTAAAGCGACGTCCTCCACAGCTAGACTGAAGAGAAAAAACAGCAATTTGTCTACCTGTCTGTTCCCCTTCCCTGATTCCCCAACGCTGTTCCCCTCCCCTCAATTCCCCAATAAAATCTTTTTTTTAAAAAAAAAAGAAGATTCAATATATGAAGATGCCAATATTTGAATGTAAGCCAATAAAAATTATAAGGTTTTTTTTCTTTTTGCAGAAATGCATCAGCTGATTCTAAAAATGTATCTGGAAATACAAGAGTTCAACAGTAGCCAAAGCAATCTTGCAGATTATTAACACTAGAGGATATCAAGATGCATTCTAAAGCTATTATAACAAAGACAATGTAATATTGGACACGAGGTAGAAAAGACCAAAAGAGATCCACACATCTTCGGTAACCTGTGACCTAGTTTATGTCAAAGGTAACATATTTGCAGTATGTAAGGAAAAGACATTTTTTTATTTTAAATGATGCTGGCTAATTTTAGTATCCACATGAATAGCATGAGTCTTGACCTATTTCTTATACTAGTCACAAAAGTCAATCCCATATCAATTTGCAGATCCAAAAGTGGAAGGCAAAATAAAGATTTCAGAAAAAGACATA